CTGCCTCTGGAAAATTTTGCAGCACCAACATGTGCCTGGATAGAGGAGACTCGGATGTGTTGGTGAACAGTCCTGTTCATGTCACAGCCTCCAGAAAGGACTTAGCAGTTTAACTTTGGACTTTATGAGCATTTACAAAGTGTTGTAAGACAGCCCTCCCCTTGTCCTCCTCTCTTCCTTTTTGATGTTGCCAACCTTAATTAGCCACAGTTAGGTAAATTTGACAATCTTATAATGCCAATTTACTTACCAGCTACGAAAATACTCTAGATCAGCTGGTAAGAACTACACAGAAAAGGCTCTCTGATTAGCAATACCTTAGCTTTCCCATATTTATATCTCATTAACGTCTTTATATATATATATTTATACTTGATATTTGTCCACTGCAAAGTTTTTAGAAGATAGGTTACTTTTGATTCCTCTGTTGCTACAAGTTATTGGCTTCCAATCTGACTTGGTCTGAGTCCTTATCAGGCAATAGGTGGGCTTAATTCACCAGTGATTATTAGATTTCACAGTGCTGGAAGATGTTTTGATATTTTGCTGTGCTAAATATCAGGCAAAAAAAAAATATATATATATATATACTGGGCCCACTGTAGTTGTACACACCTGTAATCCCAGCAGTTTAGGAGACTGAGCCAGGAGGATCATGAATTCAAAGCCAACCTCAGCAAAATTGAGGCACTAAACAACTGAGTGAGACCTTATCTCTAAATAATACAAAATAGGGATGGGAATGTGGCTCAGTGGTCAAGTGCCCCTGAGTTCAATCCCTGGTACCTTCTCCCCTCCAAAAAAGACTGTACTGGTGATAATGGTTGAGTATTGGAAACCACCTAAACTCCTATCAACAGGGTATTGATGAAATTATAGATTATATATTTATATATCCTATGTAGTCAAAAAAAATAACATGTTTCTTTTTATATGGAAATGCCTGCAGATACTATGTAAAAGAAAAAGGCTAGAAAACAAGATGTATAATACATGTTTTCTGATTTAAAAACTGTATGTATAGGTTATAATTTTATTTCCTTATTTTTAAAATGTATTTATTTATTTTTGCATTACAATTCTTAATACACCATTTATTTCCTTATTTTTTATACAGCATGTTACTGTTTGAGTTCTCGTTTGTATATTTTGATTTTGAACATAATGTCCATTTGAGATATGCAAAGAAGACAGCTATGGGGATGAGGAATTGATAAGAATAGCATAGTAAGGCAATAAAAACTAGAGAGGATGAGGATCAAATCTTGGCTGTGAAATACTGGCATTCCTTCTTGCTATCTATCTCATAGGACCTCTGTTTCCTTGTCTATAAAATGGGACTAATGTTACCTCATAGGTTTGTGTCAGGGACTGAATGGTAAAGAGTGAGAAATTGTAGGTAACCAGTACTGGTAGTTAATTTTTATTGATATTAGTGATTACAATATTATTGAGGTTCCCTCCCTAATATATTATCCATTACTGTTAACTAATTACCTCAAAACTTAGTGGCTTAAAACCACAGAACTTTATTATCCTTCAGTTTCTTCGGGTCAGGAATCCCAGAGTGGCTTTGCTCTGTTTCTCATGTGGTTGCAGTCTGGCTGTTGTCTGAGATGGTATCACCTAAGGGCGGTCCGCCCACTTGGGACAGGAGGACCTGCTTCTAAGACCCCTTATTCACATAGCTGTTGGCTGTTGGTTCTTTGGCACTTAGATTTTTCCATAAGGCTACCTGAGTATCTTCATGACCATGACAGCTCATTTTCCCCAGAGTAAGTGATCCCAGAGAGACAGAGAGGAAAGAAGAATTCACACTTGAGTTTTCTGGCCTAACCTGTGAAGTTCTTTCTGCAAAAGGGTCAGCCTTCTTCATTGTGTTACAGAGATGATACTACTAAGAAGACTCCTTGATGGGGCCATCTTGGAGGGACTGGCTGCCACACCCAGTTGGTAGCTAGCAAACTCAAATTAAAATTTAGGCTGTGTGGCTATTTCTGTCATGAACATGTTGGAGTTTCACATGCTTAGCATTTAGCCCTCTTTTCTGTCTGTACTCACACTCTAGGTGGTCGTTCCATCCTGTCCCCTAATTCCCAATTGCATCTCCATTCCAATCTTTCCCTAGAACTCAAGGTTCACATATCTAACAATCAGCTCCGCTTGAAGCCTGATAGCTGTTACAGTGTTAGCATGTCCCAAACTGAACTCCTCCCCAAACCTGCTCCCCTGCAGGCTTCCCTATCCCTGTGCAGCAATGCCATTCTTCTCGTTGCTCAAATAGGAACCTTAGAAATGTGCTTGCCTTCCTCTTCCTCTCACATCATATCATGTGTCAGCACAGATCCTGTGGCTCTGCCTTCAACATACACCCAGAATTCAACACTTCTCACCATCTGGGCTGATCACCTTCAGATACCAACCTGATCCATACCACCATCTTCTCTCCAGGGTGTTGCAGAGGCCTTCCAGCTCTTCTCTAGTCTCTGCCCTAGCCTCCTGCCTCTGGTCTGTTGAGCTGGTGGCCCTTTTAAGATCCAAATCAGATTGTGCCTACTCAGAGCACAGTAGGCTATCACATCCAGGTCTGCCCATATCTCTGGGCTCTGTATATCTGATCTTACCTCCTGCAAGCCAGGACCTTACTGCCTTCCTGTAGTTCTTTCTCAGCTGGGCCTTCTAGGGTCCACAGTCCACAGTTTTCACACCCTAGCCCCAGTTACACTTCACTTGCCTTCCCTGCTTTTTCTCCTTTGTTCTTATCATTGTCTAACTTACTTTATTTTTTATTTAATTAAAACACTTAAATTATGAGCTGTTGAGCAGGGATATTTTGTTATGTTCACTATTACAAGGAACAGCCTATTGGATTTGCATTTTCTTGAAGCCATTTTTTTAATATTTAAGAATTTAGGTGTTACCTTTCCACACAAATATGGTTGAAGTTAACATACCAGAAACATTTGTAACTCATCAGTACAGTGTGTTATTTCTTGCCCAAGATTAGTAGATCCGATTACAGGGGTGGAAAAAAAAAAAGGATGTTTAGGAGTTTGCCTTATATGAACTGTTTCTTTTGTGTATTGATTGCAAGTTAAGCATGTAATTCAGATGGAGAATTAAAGGCTGTGGTCCTGTGGAGAATTATAAAGAGAGTCATTAGGAAAAGTACAAAGCGTGTACTTAGAGATCCCTGTCTTGTCTTTCATTTTCTAATGGATGATTAAAAATTGTACATATTAATTGTGTACAATATGATGAGAAATATGTATACATTGTAGAATGGTCCAGCCAAGCTAATGAACATGAGCATCACCTCACTTATTTTTTTTTCCAGTGGACTTAAGCTCTACTCTCTCAGTAATTTTCAAAATAAATCCATTGTTATAAAAACTGTAGCCCTTATATTGCACAATAGATCTCTTAAACTATTCCTTGCAAACTGAAATCTTGTATCCTTTGATCAACAAGATCTGCATCTTTAATATGTTAACTTGGACTAGAAAAGGTAAGAAGACCACATAAGATTAGCATGGAAGTGTCCCTGATGGTAATAGCAGAAACAGCTTTCCTTTTATACAGAGACCCTGAAAGGAAGGTGTGGGGCTTTGCAAGTCATTGTGCCCACATTTGCCAACTCTGCAAGTTACTGTGCTTGGTGCCTTAGGAAGGGACAGAGGTGGCCTGCATACCGAATACTCGGTGCAGAGAGATGCATGGGGTAGGAGTAAAATGCTTTCTTGGGACAGGGTAGAATAAAATGACATGTGGCAGGGAGAAATTCAGGGACAGCATGAGGAGGAGGTGGCACTGAGAATGGAGCATTGGTATGTGTGAGTAGGACTTGAGTAGGCAGGGAAGAGCCCCAGAACAGCCTGTGTCTTGGCTGCTTTTCACAGTTAATCTGGGGATCTTGTCAGGAATCAGATTCTGACTCCACGGGACAAGGAAGGGAGGCAGAGTTTCCCCATTGCTCACAAGGCTCCTGGGATGCTGGGAGGCTGGCCCTGGAGGACATGTCTCTGGAGGATGTCAGGGCTGCCTGCATCTGCCTTCCTGCTTTTTCTGCCTTGAGCTGCAGGGTGGGGATTGGCCTGGACATGGTAGTGTGGGCTTGACATGGGGTGGGCTGTGAGACACTGGGGAACAGAGGTGAGGCCAGGAGCCCAAGGCTGAACCGCGCTGTTCATTGCTCAAGACTACTTGACCTCCCTTGATCTTAGGACCAACAGCTTAACCCTGGGCTACCTCTTCTCCTGAACTCTACTTTTAAAAGTTCACTTGGTAATTTCCATTTTTATCTGTTTGACTTTATGATTTTTACATTAGTGAGACATACTGCTTATAATGTTACTTTGGTCCTTCAGAAAGAAATTATTTCTGTTAATGGCAGATTTTTAAATTTTTAATAAGCTGCCACTCTATCTTCTTGTAATATAGTCCAGTGATAACACTTTCACAAGCATATGGGTTAATTAGGGGGCCTCTTCTTTCAGGGGCTTCTAATTGAGGAAAGAGGAGATGGTACCAATCATTAGTTAGCTTATGTGACCCCAACATGAATCACCAAAGCAGTTGCAGATAGCACAAGATTCCATCCTCTCCATGTCTGGCATAACTGTGGTAGAGACCATAAATTGGAAACAAGCAACTTGAAATTATGATGGCAAAGGGTGAACTAAAATGTCACAGAGGTGTTCTTTTCTACTTCCTCCTTCCTCCCCAGGGCCAGTGACTCACAAGGGGCAGGCATTCCTCCCTGGACTGGTTTTGGTGTAGTGGTAGAGCCTTCGCTGTTTACATTAGGAATTCCAACCTTTCATTCAGGCCCCTCTACCTGTTTCTACCTAAGTAGAAACTGAAGTAATTCATATTTCTGACAGTTATACTGCTGTCCCCAGAGGAAAACTCTGCAGCTGAGCATAAATATGATGGGCATGTATGTTCACAGATGTGTACTAAATATATACATGCATGTATGTTTCCAATTTTCTTCCTAGATTTTGGCCCTGATTGCATTCATCTGTATCGAGACCATCATGGAGTGCTCCCCATGTGAAGGCCTCTACTTTTTTGAGTTTGTAAGCTGTAGTGCATTTGTGGTGACTGGAGTCTTGCTGATTCTGTTCAGTCTCAACCTTCACATGAGGATCCCCCAGATCAACTGGAACCTGACAGTGAGTAGAAGTTACCATTCTTTCTGTGAAAGGATCAAATGCTGCTTGGCTCCAAGGGAAAGTTGGAATCTCTCCATGACATGTTTGGTTCTAGTTTATTTTGATATTTTAACATTCCTTTATAACTCAGCTGTGAAATTTTATATTTCTTTACTGCATTGAGTGAAAAAATAAATAAATTGAATCTTAACTAATGGTAGAAACATAACAAAATTATGTTGGTCCTTTTAAAGATGTCATTTCTATTTTATGATCACCTTAGAAGACTAGTTATACTGGTATTTGCAGAATATGGGAAAGAAATGGAATTAATACATTTGCATATTTTTCAGACTACACACAAAAGCCATTTATAAAAATATTGATTCTGGAAGAATTGAAAATGTCAATATTGTGTAAAGCCTAGGAATATTATTAAACTCAAAGTAACTAGGAGGACTGAAGGTTTGGGTGATTTGATCAGAAAGTCTTGAGTGGATACATGTCCACTCGTCTCCATACTTTGAATTTTCAGCCCTGTTTGGACAGCCCTGTCAGATGGCATGGGAAGCTGAGGGCTGGCTAGTCCCAGGCTATCTCTTCTAAACTGTGTTAGTTGTCCTTATTTGTTCTTGAACAAGAAGGAATTTTAATATAATTTGGTTTTCTTAATATTTCTTTGTAAACAAGGGTGTGCAAGAGCTCAGGGGGAATCAGTAAGGGAGAAACTCAGAAGTACAACCAGCCACCTCACACTTCTGTGCTTGTGAGAGAAGCCTGTGGACTCACAGCTGCTGGGGGTATGAGGAGAGCACTGCAGAGCACCTCTTTCTTTCTTTGGCTGGTGCTCCATGCAGAGTGGGGGGCAACACTGTGGGAGGAAGCCTGAGCTGTCGCTCTGCCTGGCAGGGCTGCTAGCATGGTGTCCCTGGGTGTACAGATAGGAAGATCTTCCTGACAGAATGCTCCCACAAACTGTTTTGGGGAGAAGAATGAAAGGAGAGTTACTGATTCGGAAAAGTAAGTGTCAGTTGAAAACTCTACAAGTTTTGTCTTAGCACTGAAAGCTAAGGAAAATGTGATGGTATTTTAAATTTAACTTTGTTCTAAAACCAAAAGATAACTGGAAGCACTTTGTAAGTTTTTGTGAGAAGTTTAAACATTTCAACTGTTTTTTAGATGAAGTTTGTGTTATATATAAGAAAATGCTTAGGGGGCTGGGGTTGTGATTCAGTGGTAGAGTGCTTGCCTAACATGTATGAGGCACTGGGTTTGATACTCAGCACCACATATAAATAAATGAATAAACTAAAGTTTCATTAACATCTAAAAATATTTTTTAAAAATGCTTGAGGTGTGACCTCAACCAATAGTGTAGTAGACAGATAGCTTAAGTGAGCCTTGCAACCTTCCCAACTAATGCATACTCTGGGGACAAGGTCAAGGTGTTCATCCTGTTTGCTGGTGTCCCAGTTGCCTGTTGTTTCCAAGGTCCTCTCAGTAGGTGCTTTCTGAGGGCAGGCTGGGCTATAGAGCATTCAACACCCTATAGAAAGACCTGTTTGACAAAGAAGTAGCTTCTGGGAAGGTTAAGATCAGAGGTTTTAAGCCAATAGACCTGGTCAGATCAAGTCCAGGGTTGTTCTTAAGGGCTGTGCATGAACCTGGGTAAATCACATGAGCCTTCTATTAGTGAAGTCTCACTATTGGTTAAATGGAGATAATATTTTCCTTGCAGGATTGTTTTAAATATAAAATGAAGAAAATGGGAATAAAGGCATGTAGTAAGCTCTCAAACCAGTAGGGCTGCTGCCAGTATGAGAATATCTTTTCTCAAGTGTTATTGATGAACTATGCCATTCTCCTTTAGATTTTATACCCCTAATTCCATTTTGTCAGTGTATGTGATACCATTAATCTAAAGAGCTCAGTGGAGTAAAGCTGCTTAGCTCATGGCAAAGTCAGGGAGGAGAGAAAGAGAGAGGGGGGGGAGGGAGGGAGGGAGGGAGAAAGAAGGAGCTTCAGGGAAGATGAATACTTACAGGGCACAAACCATGTCCCACCTGCCTATGGTTACCACCTAGTTACTTCTTTCAAATTATTAATTCATCAAATAGATTAATCCACTGGATTAATCACTGTTCTAATCACTGACCTAATCAGAGGTCACTGCTCTCTTAATCTAATCATTTTACTTCCTCATTAATAGAGAGCTTTGGGAGGATATCTCGTATCCAAACTATAACAAGCTACATCATTATTTTTAATGAGTGCATGGTGTTATTATGGAAATTCCATTTTATTTAGTAAAATATCCTATTCTTGAGCATTTTGTTTGCTTTTTTTTTAAATAGTTTTTTTAGTTGTTGATAGACCTTTATTTATTTATATTTATGCAGTGCTGAGAATCGAACCCAGTGTCTCACACATGGGCAAGTGCGCTTCTGCTGAGACACAGCCCCAGCTCCTGCTTTCGGTTTTTTACTTCTTTAAATAATGTCACAAAGGACGTCCTTATACTTAGACCTTTGGTATAATAGCACTTTCTATTAGTACTTAAGGTGAATTTCCAAGTGTGGAATTTATAAGTAGACAATATGAATCTGTTCAAAATCTTGTATGCCTATTAGCAAATAGTTTTCCTGAAAGTTATGTCATGTGAGCCCTGCTGGCTGGTCTGTGTGTCAGTGTCTGACTTTCTGTCTCACATACATACATACATACATATACAGAGTTGTAGTCTTTTCCAGAAAAGTAGCATGCAGTTGCCAAGTTAATTTTTACTTCTTTGCTTACAAGTAAATTTGAACATTTTTCTTCCTTATTGGCCATTTATACTTTAAAAAGTTTTATTCATTTTTAAAGTTCCATTGTATTTTAAAAAATATCTTTATTTTTATTTATTTATTTTTATATGGTGCTGAGGATTAAACCCAGGGCCTCACACGTGCAAGGCAAGCACTCTACCACTGAGTTACAACCCCAGCCCCATTTATACTTTTAAAAAATTGCTTATTTATAGCCAGGCATGGTGGTGCATGCCTGAAATCCTAGTGGCTCGGGAAGCTGAGGCAGGAGGATCGCAAGTTCAAAGACAGCCTCTGCAACAGTAAGGCTCTAAGCAACTCAGTGAGACCCTGTCTCTAAATAAAATACAAAATAGGGCATGGGATGTGGCTCAGTGGTTGAGTGCCTCTGAGTTCAATCCCCAGTATCAAAGGGAAAAAAAATTTGCTTATTCATGGCCTTTCCTTATTTTGTTACATTTTCTTAAGAATATTGGTCATTTTATCAATGTTTATTAAAGGTTTACTATTTACAAGATTTTATTGGATGTCTTATATTTGGTGTAAAGCTTAAAAAGTATTTTTTGTGAAGGGTTTTTTAACATACACATGGGACTTTGTGGTTTTGCTTTATTCATATAATTTTTATTTTCTTTGTTTTATTTTGGTTTATAGTGTTAAATAAAAATACAAATTTTTAAAATGATTTTTTTCATTAGTTAGCAAAATCCTTTGTTTCTTCACTATCTTTCTTTTTAAAAGATAGCATTATATGATTGTTATATCAATAAAATTAGCAATTCTTTAATATTAATTAATATTCAGTTCATACTCTAATTTCCCCTTGGTCTCAAAATATCTTTTTACATTTGTCTTATTCAGGTCACAGTCTACACGAGGTTCACCACACAAATAACCTCCTTCCATTCATTCCTTTTATTTTATTGATTTGTTAGAAACACTGGGTCATTTGTCTATCCTGTGAAGCGTTTTACAGTCTGGAGTTAGCTGCAAGCGCCCTGGTGGTGAGGCTTTACTTGTTCCTCTGTCCCTGTCTTGTGTGTGACCTGGTTATTGGCTCTGGGGCAACTCTGGCCAACAAGCTTCTCCAACAGTGGAAATGTTTTCTGATCTGTACTGCTCTGTGTGCAGCCATGAGCTGCAGGTGGCTACTGAGTACTTGTAGCGGGCTAATGTGATTGAAACATGGAACTTCTTATTTTATGTAGTTCAGTGGTTTAATGTCCAGTAGCCACATGTGTTTGAGACAGCACAGCTCTAGAAGCATAGTAATACGCAGGTTCATTATTGAGGCGAGGGCTTCAGCCTCAAAAATGGGTTAGTTCAGTGGAATTTGAAGGCTGACGTGCTCATGTTAGCAGTTGCTTGTGTTTTCCCCCTTGTTTCATCTTATTGGCTGAATAACCTGGTGGGGAATCATAGTAGGATATTATCTTATCTTTGTAAAACATCTTTTTAAATTTTTTTACTATATTCTCTGATCATATTTATCTTTTCAGTCTTCATTTAATGTTGATTGTCGTTGCTAAAACAAGTTTAAAATCACTGGTACTCCTACAATTTTTAAATTTTTCCCCTTAAATTTCCTAACCCTGGGCTGGGATTTTGGCTCAGTGGCAGAACCCTTGCCTTGCAAGTATGAGGCCTAGGTTTGATCCTGAGCATCACAGCAAAATAAATAAATTAAATAAAGGTATTGTGTTCATCACAACTAAATTTTTTTTAAAAATTTCCTAGCCCTTTTTATCATATCTGTATTTTTACATAGTCACAATTTTGCTTGATGCTTGACTTCCAACATTATATCATAAAATATGTTTCCTTTTCTGAATAATCTTGCTTTGGGAAGTATGTTTTATATTTTTCACCCCAATAGTATCTTATTCCAGAGCCAAGTATTTCTAGATACTTTCTGGCTTGAATTTGTGAGAAATTTCCCTGGCTTCACAGATCACATCTGAACCCCGTCCTGCTGGCAGGTGTTTTTGAAGAGAGCCTCACAGTCCCTACATTACAGTTTTGCCCTAGCCCATGAAGAAGCGTGGCGGAACTCCAGGTGGTTTCTACTACCCAGACTCAGTACTATTAAATTGAAACTTGTCTCTTTGCATCTTTAAAAAGAGCAAGTCAATCTTGAAGTCAGGCCAGACTGGATGAACCACCAGGTATTGATGGTATAGTCAACCAGCACTTAAGCAGTTTGGTCTTTTTCCTGAATTTTCATCCCTTTTATAGTTCACAGAGGCCATATAGTATGACTCAGGCTATTGGGGTCTAGTGCCAAAGCAATAACAGAAGTACCAGTGTAGAGGATCCAACTGTGGCCAGGTGTTGTGTTTGGCTTGTCACCTACATAGTTCTGCTTGTCTTCCAGAACAGCTCTGGGGAGAAGGGGCTGCTATTCCACATAAGATACATAGGAACACAGCAGTTCATCTGAAGTCATAGTATTAGACCCTAGGCTGGCTATGACTCTTTTTTTTTTTTTTTTTTTTTTGGTACCAGGGATTGAACTCAGGGGCACTCAACCACTGAGCCACACCCCCAGATCTATTTTGTATTTTATTTAGAGACAGGGTCTCTGAGTTGCTTAGCACCTCGCTTTTTGCTAAAGCTGCCTTTGAACTCACCATCCTCCTGCCTTAGCCTCCCAAGCTGCTGGGATTACAGGCATGTGCCACTGAGCCTGGTTGCTGGCTATGGCTCTTAATCAGTGTGTTATAGTCTTTTCATAAATAAGACAGAAGTTAAGTCTGTGAAACACTAGGTAAGTAACTTCATTTGCTTTGCAAGAGGTTTAGGAGAAAATTCTGCAGTGACTTTAGTGACATAGAGGTTTGAAAATCTAGGTAAGAACATGTGTTCGCAATGTCTGAAAATAATGTGCTTTAAACCTTACATATGGAGGTGAGGAATGCTGGGGACTGCATCAGTCTCAGTACATTTAGACCCTTAGGGTGCTTTGTCCACACTAAGACCATTGTGTGAGTATCTTTTTAAAAAGATGACACTAGAGAGGCTGGGGTTGTGGCTCAGTGGCCCAGCATGTATGAGGCACTGGGTTCGATTCTCAGCACCCCATATAAACAAATGAATAAAATAAAGGTCCAGCACTATCTAAGAAAATGTTAAACAACAACAACAACAAAAGATGACATTGGAGGGCTGAGGGTGTAGCTCAGTGGTGGGGCTCTTGTCTAGCACTTGTGAGGCTCTGATTTCTAACCCCAGCACTGCAAAAAATTAAAAAGATACCAGGACACTAAACAGTAAATAATGGCTGTTGTTTAAGTCAGGAATTGGTGATGTGGTGGGTTAAAACGTGGATTTTGTTGTGCCAGTTTGCCAAGCAACCATTAACCATGAACTATTATTTTTGTCTTCCTTTGTGTGACCAATATCTCTGTGTCTTCAAGGCTGAGATTCAGGGCCATTGGAGGTTGCATGTTGTGAGTCCTGTTTTGGAAGTTCTTCAGTTGATTTTCAAATTGTTCTTTTCAAATTATTTTTATTTTTTTGTTTAGGATTTGGTCAACACTGGACTCAGCACTTTCTTTTTCTTTATTGCCTCAATTGTACTGGCTGCTTTAAACCACAAAACCGGAGCAGAAATTGCTGCTATGGTAAGAGAACTTGAGTTGGTAAAATGCAGGCTGACTTCACACCTCCTGTGACTTTCTATCCTGTGTCCTCTGGCATGTGTCCTACTACTTATCCTCCTTAAATTCTTTCTTGAGTGTGGAGGCTGATGTGGAGTGTGGGGAGATGCGTGGGACCTGCTCTCTCCCCACACACCAGGCTTCTGTGTTGCTGTTGATTCACAAAGAACAAGTTTCATTTTTGTTGTTGGGGAGAGTTAAAAAACTTCTCTCCCAGTGCCTCGCAGTAGATTCTCCAAGCCTTACCAAGTAATTAAAACCCCACCGTGTCTCATCTGGAGCTGCCTAGGTGAGTGGCAGCAGATGGGGGTGGGATTTGGAATTCAGCCCTGTGGCTTGATTTGAGGCTTACATGTGAGACTCTTATTATTCTCTCTTCATCACATTTTGTCTGCATTTCATTCTCACATTTGAGACTAAAGGGCATGAAGATACACACAGTAAAAGAGATACTTATGTGATTTTTGAAAAAGGTCCAAAATGTATTTGGAGAGTACCGCAGTTTAACCCAGTAAACAACAACAACAAAAGATGACACTAGAGGGCTGAGGGTGCTTTACCCAGGGATGCTTTACCACTGAGCTATGTCCCCAGCCCTTTTTATTTTTCATTTTGAGACAGGGCCTTGCTAAATTGCTGAGGCTGGCTTTGATTGAGGCAGGATTTTCTGTGGATCACACGAGGAGTATCTCTACCAGGTGTGACAGCCATTCATTCCACAGGGCTGTAGATGGGGTGCAGCTAGAAGGAGCTGCATCTAGCTGGGGTCCCCATGAAGCCACTTGGATTGCATGCCTGAGGTGAATTGTGTCTTTGTATTTTAGATATTTGGCTCCTTGGCCACAGCAGCCTATGCGGTGAGCACGTTCCTGGCTGTGCAGAAATGGCGAGTCAGTATCCACCAGCAGAGCGCCAATGACTACATTCGAGCCCGCACTGAGTCCAGAGACGTGGACAGTCGCCCCGAGATCCAGTGCCTGGACACGTGAGGATTGCTGGAGTCCTCCTTCCTCTCATCCTCATGCCCATCTTTCCAATCAAGTTTTCTTTCCCTTGGCACGTCAAACTTTCATGTGATTTAGTTGAATTTTGTCTTCTTAAGTTCACTTTGGGAAAGGGCATCCAGAGTGGCCCAGTGGACAGGTGTGTGGTGGCCTGAAAAGACCCATGTCCTCGAGTGTTGGGTGGCTGTGGGAACCTCTGGCCGCGCTGACCTCCTGTGTCTACTCTAGGGCTTAAGTGTCCCAGAGTGCAGGCTCCCATCTGACTCTGAGCCATCCTGTCATGTATTTGTGATGAGTCAAGACTTTGGGTTAAATGGGGCTGCTAAAGAGGGGAAATACATGTCAAGGAATGAAGGTTAGGGTTAAAACAGTCACCAGTGCTCTGGGCAGGATTGAGTCTGGCTACCAGGATCCACTCTCCTCATCTTCCCTGCACCTGGTGTCCAGGCAGCTAGCACATCCTGAAGGCCATAGGGGACTCTGAGGGTTTTGGTGATGGATGTGCTGGTAGATCTTCTGCCTGGTCATAACAGGACAGGAAAAGCTGGTGTCCTGTGGGGGGACAGCTCCACAGGACTGCCTGATTCACGGGAGAGTCACTTTTTCTTTCCTACTCTGCTGAGAAATCACTTGATTCTTCCTCAAATGAATCATCTTCCTGAGTCCCAGATTTTTTTCCAGGAATATGGAGACCACCTTGTTTTCCAGATTCCTGTCTACCCTAAATACTTTGAGAATGAATTGTGGGGTGTCTGTAATTTTACCGACTCAGGTAAAAGCCACAAAAGAAACAGTACATTTTAGCAGCCAAAGCACTTGCCTGTTTGCTGCCTTCATGGACCACATTTGTGTTACAAATTAGCACACACAAACACTTTCCTCTGTTTTAGGGGTGTGTGTTCATTTTCTAAGTGAGTTCTAAAGTGATTCTGAGTAGATTTGTCCAGGATTTGAAAATACTTGAATTTGCACCAGGACACGTCCTCCCACTGACATTTCAGTAGGCACTGATTGTTGCCCTGGGGGCCTGAGCGCCATCACTATCAATAGCAGCTCTTGGGAGTTGTTGGGGGAAGTCCTAGTTACTTAAGGTTTTTGATTGATTCTTGATAAAAGTGAAGATTTGTGTGTGTGTGGTGAATGAGAGGGTTAAATAAGACCCTATAATGTTATAGTTTTGTTGTTGTTAAAAACTAATATCTTTTAATGAAAAATTTGTTTTAGTTTGTCAGGTTTTCACTCTTTAAACTGTTTAATGTTTACAGACATCACTGAAGCTCTCATATTTTGTGTTTAGCTCTCACCAAGGAAAAGGTACCACTGGTGGGAGGATTTTGTAGTAGTCTGGAGAAACCCCAGGATCTTGTACTGAGGACTGTTTATAGCTTTAGCAATGTCTTGTGAGGTAGACAACCCGGAAGAGAGAAGAGGGGTGGTATATGTTTGGGGTAAGGAGAGGAATATTTGTAGGAAGCCCCCTCCAGTGCACGTGTGGCATTGTGTTCTTCAGAAAAGAGCAGCATCCTGTTCAACAGTGAGGATGGGTGTCTGCTAGACTAGAACTCTACAGGAAGTGGTGCCAAGCTGTGCCTTGTGGTCAGGTTAAAGGTTAGCTCCCTAACCCAACATCCAGTATAGATCAGTTCTGGTGCACTTCCTGTCCAGACAGTGGCCCAGATCACATGTTCAAGCACAAGTCTGCATCAGGGGATGACCCAGCTAGTCTTGTGGTTACTCCCCTCTTCTCCCACAGAGGTCAGCCTGGCCTGGTTACAGCTGGGTATAGTGTGCAGTGTGGCTGATGGAGCCCTCTTCCCGTGCCTGTTGTGAGTCAGTACGTAGCATGCTTCACAAACTTTGAACCTGTGATATGTAATGATGTGTGGGAAGCTGATGACATCTGAATTTTATTTATTCATTTTACATATTTGTATGCATTGATGAGTGAGTCTACATAATCAAAACTGAGGTTATCTTCCACTTAAAAAAGAGAATTCCACTTAAAATAGGATCACAAAGACTGAGGCTTGCATTGGATTGGGCCTACTTGGAAGGACCATCCTGAACTTTATCAGATATCTGCTGGGAGTCAAGTTACTTGGCCTTTTATTAAGGCTACTTTTGAAATGAGACTGAAAGAGAAAACCATTCAGGCAAGATCATTGCTCAAGTTTTCCAAGTCACTTCAGTAAAACCAGTTTATCATCTGATGAAAGGAGACTGTTGACTTGCCTCCTAATATGTACTGTCAGCTGAAAAAAGTTCTGAAGCCAATCAACACCAGAAATGCTGAGGCATGATAAAAAGTGATGATGCCTATACTGAGAGAGACTTTGGAGTTAATTTGCATCTTAGTGACAGAATCTTTGGACTGTTTATGTCCCTGTAACTACTTAATATCATTTGTCATGAGGCTTCTCCATGAAGTGGCCTGTACACTTTCTAGTTGGTGTAGTGCATAGCCCTGTCTCCTCACATACCCATAATGTGGTGAGGGAAAGTTATGAAGGGAATACAGCTGTCTACTGCGAATGTAAAGAAACCTGCATTTTTCTTATGTTGCCTCTGTGTACAAACAAAAGACAATCTAGATTTGGAGGTCTTAAATTGATCTCTTAGCAAATTGAAGAAGCAGTTTTGCAACTAGTAGTTCCAGTTTAGACCAGTGTCACTTAGGTTTGAGGTATTTTAAGGCTAAGGCAACCTTAGATTTCTGTTTTCTGGTGGGATGAATTGGCTTTCATTGTTGGAGTACAACTTGAAGGGAGATGTGTTCCTGGAGATGTGGCAACCCGCAGCACTTGGTAGAACCTAAGGCGGTTTTGATGGATGCAAACACTGACATCTTCAGAGGAAGTTTATTTTGACGTTGATTTTGTTAGCTGGGTGCTTTTCTTTTCTGATTCCTTTACCCCTTTTTGTACTGCTGAAGACATGGAAGGCAACCCCTTTTTCCTTTCATACAGAGAGACTGTTGCCATGAAAACCTAAAAATGCTTGTTGGCCTATGGTAAGGGCAAACAGATTAAAATCTTCTCAGTGGAATTTGATTTAAAACAAAGAGACATCCAAGGGAGATTGTTTTTTATCTACAAAAAAAATGTAGTAATGACCCTACTTCCAGCCCACATCTTTCTTAGCAATGGTCACTGAAGTGCTGCAGTTGGCTGCACAGCCACAGGGAAATCAGCAAGGGCGCCAGACTCTGAGTGCTTGGCCCTGGGTCCACTTTACCATCCCCTGCAACAGGCCAAGGGTATCTGGCCTCCAACCTGGGCTAGATGATTCTGGTAAGAGCCTTGTGAAAACATTCCTACTCTCTTCAAGTTTGCAGTTTTATCCACCTTCTGTAAAGCTTTCCTAGTGACTCAGACGTGGGTTAAGCCACAGGCATTCTCTGAGGAGAGGAAGCCCTAACTCTTATCTGCACTTGTATGTGAATTCTTGCTTGCTGTGAATGAGCCACAGATAACCCTTGTGTGTGGCCCAAGCTCACCTCTACTCCTAGTTTTGCATGCACTATTTGGAAGAAACCCCTTACCTATCAATGTGCTTTCAGAGGTGGACCAGGGTCTCATGTCTGTCTGTGCCAGATTTCTTATGGGTAGGTCTTGGGACCTGTCCTAACCAAAAAAGAAAAAAAAAAAAAAAGGAGCATGAAGACTTGTGGCCAAGTTAGTATTAAGTGGTTACTGCTGTGCCATCTGTGTCCAAAACAAAGCAATCATGAAATCATTGTGCCACTACCTGATTGTCATTTTCTCTAAACCTTGTCTGTGGAGCAGTAGCAGAACTGGTAACAAACTTTCTAGGCTGAGAGCTGCTAAGCAATTTTCATGAGCAGAAGAAAAGTTGTTTCTGGCTCTAGGGACTGCTGTTACCTAGGAGGTCTCCAGGTGCCTTTTAAGTTTCTTGAGAATTTGCAGAATCCAAGTCTTTCTGTTTCCTTGGTCTGTCTGATTTTGATCAGTACCCACTCCTAGGACCAACTAGGCAAGGGACTTGGAGGGCAGATGAGGTCAACACAGGGGTGGGTGAGAAGTGAGAAGGAAGGGAAAGGGGGCTTTTGTTGGCACCAGGTGTGTTTATACCTCAGGCTACTTAAGGAATGTGTTTTTGGCTCACCACCTTCCTATGTTCTTATGTTTAGAAGGGTGAGATCTTGGGTTTCAGAATCAGCCTGAAGACAAGAGCTGACCATTGGGGACTGGTGTTCCTCCATGCTCTTGCCTCCTGGCATCTACTCTGGGTTTGACCTGACTCAGATGCACCCCAGGAATGACATAGACCTAAGAGGGCCACCCTTTTGCTTTTTAAACTTTCCTGACTCTAAAATCTTTCTTCTCAGCAGATACCTTAAAAATCAGATCTGTCTGGTTGAGAAAGTAATTTGAAATATTTGACTTTTTATGTTTCCTTTATTTATAAACTATCTCTAAAAGTTACCTTCAGCATGTTACATCTAGAATAATTTTTTTCTGAAACCGAATTTTCTTCATGACCGTAAACATTCGCACACACCTTGGCTTGAAACAGAGGCAGCCGTCTTATATTTTCCCTTCTTTTGTCTGGAATATATTCTTTTTCCATTTGAATACAATTTCTCAACCTTTGGAATTCTTTTCCTTTCTAGTTTTTCTTATTCCATAAATGTAACAGTAAAGAAAAGAATGACCCACTAGGACTGAGGATGTGGCTCAAGTGGTAGCGCGCTCACCTGGCATTCGTGCGACCCGGGTTCGATCCTCAGCACCACACACCAACAAAGATGTTGTGTCTGCCGAGAACTAAAAAATAAATGTTAAAAAAAATTCTCTCTCTCTCACTCTCTCTTTAAAAAAAAAAAACAAAAACAAAAAAAAACAAAAACAAGAATGACCCACTAGCCCAGTGAGCTTGAATCAACAGGCAGCTTGCCCAGAATGAAGTTTAGCAGATTTGTTTCACTGAGCTAGTTGTTTACACACTGTGCTGAGACTTGAACTCAGGTGGGTCTTTGGTGAAGGGTTAGTACTGCTTGGACTCTGGTGAGCTGTTTGTTGGAACTTTTAAGGTTCTAATTCTTATGGTAAGAATGTGTCTGGCACTATCTTAATCATCTTTGTTGATGTGATTTAGGGCAAGGTCTAGAGTTTCTTTTCATAATTATGCCTGAAAAAAGAAATGGTGTGAAAGAAGGTTCTGATGATTTGTGGGGTTCAGTAACAATCTGAACCATCTAGTGTGAGTTGTCTTGGATGCTGCTGCTGACACCCCATTGAAAGTATCCCCTATTTATAAGGCAAGGCACCCAAGGAGTGACCAGGAACTAAGGACAGTGAAGGGAGATCTGGTGCCCACCCAAGGCCAGGCCAGGCCTAACTGATGACTGCTTCCCTCTCCAGACTCTTGTTTTGCCTTTCCGATTTTTCCCAAATTGATATTACAAGTGTCAAGCTTTCCTTCTCCTCTCTGTGGAAGTGTAGAATGCAAATGTTCAGGCCTTGAAGGGAAAACTGCCTGGTCCCTGGGCTGGGGAAGACATGGGCAAGGACAGAATGACAAGGATTTCCCCCAACCCCATACTGACCAAGGTCCAGCTGGGGCCGCCTGCTTCCAGCTTTCTCTTCTCGACCTCTTAAAAATGAGTTTTCAAATCACAATGAAGTTGATCTATTTGCATAAAATCAGTGCTTTTGGAACTTGACTTAGTTTGACGTGGTTCCCTCTAAGAATGCTAGGGATTAAAACTATTTGTATATGTTGAAATTTTAGGCAAAACACTAAACTATTTATTACAGGTATGACTGTATTTTTTTTCAAAGCAGTTAATTCTGTCTTTGTATATTTTAAGATAAATAATCACTTCACCTTTGGTGCCTTCCATGTGTCATATAAGCACTCTTGTCAATCATGGAATTGGAAGAAAAGATGTACATTTAGTTAAAACAGATAACACTATTTTTGTAGTATGATTTGACTGTGTCCTTTTAATATTGCTTTCCTTTCAACAATGCTGGTCTTAAGGTTTGGGCCACTTTTCCTTTAAACTTAATATGTATTTTAAAAAAGAAAATAAAACCAAAACAACAAAAAAAATTTCCCTGCTACTCCTGTCTCTTCTCAGCTGAATGTCCCCCACATCTTGTTTCTGCTTATTTAAATAGTCTGAGAGTAATAGTACATTTCTGTGAAACAATTATGAGTCAGTATAATTGCATTTGGCATTATTTAATCCTTTGCTCAGTTAGAAGAGACTAAGTAAGTGTCACTCACCTCAAACAGTAAGAGGAAAGTGCTTCCAAAAGAAAAGGTCACCCATGCCCTGACTTCCCATTCATTGAGTCTGAAATGGTAGAAAGTGTGTGTTTGGCTCCCTGTCCCGTTCCCCTGGGAACCTGAAGGTGTTCTAAGGCCTGGAGTCTTCCAGGGTAGTCTGAGTGTCACTTGGTTCCCAGAAACACAGTAGCCTTCTCTAGGCAGCACTTCCTCTCAGAATTTATGTAGGTTCATGGATGACCTGGGTGTCTCATAGCCCTCTTGGGGTTTCAGGCCTGGATGCAGTAGCTGCTTTGCTTCGAGGAACGGGTGAAACCAGGGCACAGGCAGACTCTATAGTGGCTCCTTCTGCTTTCCCACCCTTGTAGGACTGAGGATGTCTGGTCAAGGATAATCTTGAGCAAACCAGTTGAGCCATTGCAGAATGAAGGTACATATTTACTGAAACATGAAATTGTAGCTTTATTTTTTTTGTCCTTCTGAAGATTCAAAACATGTAATTCTATAATGACGGAAGTCCAGTCAAAAGCTAAATAATAACTTTCCAACAGATCATTCATCGGTACTTCAGCTAGTGGCACTTTTGGGGGGCAATGTTAATTGCCCCACTTTGCTTGTGGAAAGTATTTTTGGCAGTTTATGGACACAGCTGTGGGGCGTTCTGAGGTGATGGCCACTGGACAAATGTTGGTTTGTGCTGTTTGGGACAGAGTTCTATCCTGGCCTCTCAAGTAGACATGGGTGCTGCGGGGTGAGCCTCCTGTGGCTCTGACTGGCTCTTGGGTTTGTTCCTACACATTTGATGTGGTTTGTGGGCCCCAAAGCATTTGCTTCTGTTGATTTGTTCCTGACAGCATACAAAGCCTAACATTACCCTAGATCTTCCCCCTTTACTTCTTTTGAAGGACCAATTTTTCATGGTACTTGTCTTGATTGTTTTCATTGTTCAAATCTGTATTTTTATATGTAGAGGGAAATAATTTTCTCAACACTAATCGCTAATAAATATTGTATTAAATTGTCATGAAGGAGTTCTTGTTTAATAAATGAACATATAAAAATGCTATTGTCTCTTCTCTCTGCCTTGCTGCCCCTACCCCCCAAAAGGCTGTGGACCCAGCTTCTGAAATGGTCTTGCTCAGTGGAGGTGGAACAGAGACCCAGTCCACAGGATGCAATGGCCTCTGTGATACCAGCTCTGCTGGACTGGCAAGGCGAAGCAGAAACTCCACCAGGGACCTCTGTCGGCTTCTTCCCATTCTACTTGTATCACATTTTCAGGACACTTTGTGTGTGACAGTTGCCTCTTCCCATCAGCCTGGGCCAGACACTCACCAGGGTCCTCCAGGCTGCAACTCAGGTACCTTGTTCAAAATGCCTAGGGTCTGGCTGCTGTGGGAGGTTATCCTGATGTGTGATAGGGCCCTGGGCCAGAGTCCTACCCTTTCTCTCCATTTACTTGACTATGAGATGAAATAAGAGGATCAAATGCTGGCCAGATTCTTATGCTAGGCCTGGCATATGAGTGAATATGCATGCCTTGTTGCTAAGACCTATAGCTGTAAGGGTTCACTCGTGTGTTACCAGTTTGTGCTGAAGCATGCTAGGATATTGTACACTGTTGCTCTGGGTGGTGGAAGAGTTTTTCAATCACACTGCAAGCAGGTAGTCAGTCTGGTTTAATCCATTAAACGCTTTTTTTTCAGGTTAGGAGATTCACATGCATGAGAAGAATAAGGTTATAAGTGCCCAAGACATGGGTCAGAACTTTGGCTCATTCATGAGGCCTCTTGCCTCACAGAAAATGCCATTTGTTAAAGCTGCTTTTGTATAAAAAATTATAAAAAGGTACAAAATGCCATCAAAGATATATAACACTAAAAAATCCTTAGGCAAATACAGAGGGCTCATCTCTCATGAGGTGGTCAGTAGACCTGCCCCAGTATCCAGAAGGAAGGATGATGAGAACATTTGTCACCAGAAAGGTTTGGCTGGGCCTGCCCAGCTGCCCATGACATGGTCACTGCCATGGATCAATGGGTTTCCTCTGTGTTGCCCTGATCTGTGCATCTGTGAGCTCCTGTCTGAAACAGGGTTAGACTTGGAACAGTTATCTCACCTGAAGATGTTTCCAAGTGTGAAGTGCTGGGTGGGTGTCATCCACTCCTGGACAGTAAGGCCAAGGTCAGTTTCCTTCCTGTTTCACAATGAGGAAGGAACTTGTGCTCCTTGAACAAAAGATTCCTTACCAAAGTGCTGTGTGAGCAGGGGCACTCCATGCAAAGGCCACGGGGCCCTGGTGGGCTGGCCTGCAGTGGTTCTGTCTCTGTTCACATCTGTTAGCTGAAACAGGCCATCCCCCTCCCGCCCTGACTCAGCCCTGCAGCCGGAGCTGACTGCTGTGGCAGGCAGTAACACAGCTCTGTCTGCTGCGTCTCTTTGTGCTTGTCTTTAGTATTGAGGTTGAAGGGCTTAAGGTATGCAGACAGGAATGGGAAGAGGTGGAATATTCAAGATGCCCTCACTTGTGGAGTGGTTCAACAGCACTAAGCCAAGGAGTGCAGTCTCATGTGCTGGGCTCAGGAGTGTAAACTTGAGGCAGTGGGGAGGGCCATTGGGCAGTCTTCCTCCTGACACATAGCTTCCCCTGGACATGCTTCCTCAGCATGTCAGGCAGGTGCTGGCCTGAAGGTCCTGTGTGGTTCAGGTTGCTGGCATGGGCAGGCCTTCAGTCAGAGTCAGAGTCGGAATTCTCCTCTGAAAGGAAAGCAGAGAGGAGTCTCTAGGGCAGTAGTGCCTGGGAGTAGTCCCTGGAGAGGCACAGCTAGGTCGCTAGGTTGCTGGCAGGAGCCCCAGGCAGTCTCTGAGTAGGGGATGGGGTGGGGGGATGGGGACACTTCCACTCCAGACCGAAGTCTGGTTGCCCCTTCTCTATACCCTCACAAGACTCCAGAGGATGTCCCCAATTTATTTAGCAGGAGAAGGCAAAAATAACTACTTCCTTATTCCCCAAATTAAAATATACCGAAAACTCAGCAGTCCATTTTTAGCTGTTTCATAGTTTCAAATTTCCTCCTCCTTCTTGTTTGATATTGTAATCACAGTTTTATAATGTTAAGGGCCTGTCAGTGAGGTATGACTCAGGGTTCCTGAAATCCCACTACTGAAGATCAGAGCCCTCTGGAACTCCCCAGCCCAGGAAAGGAGAACACCCCACTCCTGCCCCAACCCCAGTGCCAGTTGCTATTTAAGATGTTTGTCTCCTCTGTGGCCAGCCCAGCACTCTTAGAATCTTCAACCTCATCTTTGCTGCACAGATCTCCATGGCCCTAGAGCCCAGCTGTTGGGAACCTGGTGATTCCTAATAAGCATGGGTCCCACCTGGGACAACAGGCACTCAGTGGGAAGGTCTCAACTCCAAGGTGGGGCCTATAGGCCTTGAGAGCTCCCTGTCTATCTGCCCAGCTATGAGCACTGATGGCTCCAGAGAATTGTCTCACCGAGACCAAGCACCCTATCCTCTGCTTTCCTCTCCTCCCACCAGCCCCATTTCTTCTTCCTGCACACTACCATACATCCATCAAGACCCAGCTCTAGGGTTTCCAGGGTTCCTCCATTAAGTCTCTGGTTACCTCCATAAGGCTGGCACACAGTGGACCACCCTCAGTTGCTTTATTCTTACCTGTTAGCTTCCATTTTATTGTAATTGGCACCCCATTTGGAGATCTTCCCTGATACCTCCTCTTGCACCCCTAGTATGGCACATGCCCTGCTATGTCCAGTGTAGCTCTGCTTTGGGGTTCAACTCCTGTTGGGACTGAGTTTTCAAGTCCATCTGTGCATACCTAATGCCAGCACATGATGGTCAAAGAAGGGGTAACACAAAGGCCTGGGCAAGCACAGAGAACACTAGGATGGTGTGAGGTTGGTGCTCAGCCAAACATCTCATCAACCCAGTTGCAAGGTCTCTGAGCTGCAGTGGCCTCTTTTTCAAGTCTACCTGGGGGCAGGGCAGAGAAATGGGCAACAGGCCTTGGAGCCCTTGAGGAGGACTCCATTCCTGGTCAGCACTTATATCCATGCAGTCCCTCCTGCCTCTCTGGACTGTGACTGAGGCAGGCCCTGGAGAGGCTGCAGTTCCAAACTAGCTGTGGCACCTCCTGATAAACCTGTGCAGAGCCCTTGACACAGGCCTTGTGCAAAGCGTAAGCATGTAAAGGCAAACAGTATGGCTGTGTTGTTACAGACAGATCAATGAACCTTCCAACTTTCAGCATTTTTTTTCTGTTTTTTAAGAGATCAGGTAATATACATGCTCGCCTTTCTGAGTTGGACAAGGATGGCTTGATAGGCCAGAATGTTTATTGTACTTTTCATGGGAATAAAACCCAAACACTCCTTGGTTTGCCTGGGAGCTGCAGAAAAGGATGAGAGATTGGCAAAACCACCCTAAGATACCATCTCACTCCAGTAAGATTAGCAGCCATTATGAAGTCAAACAACAACAAGTGCTGGCGAGGATGTGGAGAAAAGGGTACTCTTGTACATTGCTGGTGCGACTGCAAATTGGTGTGACCGATATGGAATGCAGTATGGAGATTGCTGGGAAAGTTGGGAATGGAACCACCATTTGACCCAGCTATTGCCCTTCTCGGACTATTCCCTGAAGACCTTAAAAGAGCGTACTATAGGGATACTGCCACATCGATGTTCATAGCAGCATAATTCACAATAGCTAGACTGTGGAACCAACCCCAATGCCCCTCAATAGATGAATGGATAAAAAAAATGTGGCATTTATACACAATGGAGTACTACGCAGCACTAAGAAATGACAAAATCATGGAATTTGCAGGGAAATGGATGGCATTAGAGCAGATTATACTAAGTGAAGCTAGCCAATCCCTAAA